GTCTGTTTAATCTATCCATCTATATATTCTCATTTCGTATTACATATAATCGTATATGATCTATTTACTACTTTATCTATCTAAGATCTATTTGCCTCTCTATTTATCTACCTGTCTGTTTATCTGTCTGGTTTATCTGTCTGTGTGCCCTGGTTGTCTGTCCTGTTTATTATCTCTCTCTCTACCTCCTCTCTCGTACTCTCCTCTCTCTCTTCTCCTCCTCTCTCATCCATCTCTCTCTCTCTCTCTCTAGTCTCTCTCTCTCTCTCTCCTCTGTGTGCTCTCCTTCTCTCTCTCATCTCTCTTCTCTCTCCTCACTCAACCTTCTTTTGTCTCCTTCTCTCTCTCTCTCTCTCTCTCTCTCTCCTCTCTCTCTCTCATCTCTCTCCTCTCCTCCTCTCTCTCTCTTCTCTCCTCTTTCATTCTCTCTTCTCTCCCTCTTTCAACGAGCCAGGACAACATATATAGACACCCAGGTGAACGACTGACAAGGAAAAATTTAGATAACATACCAGAACACACAGATAGAAATAGATGATCAACGAACGACCCCAAAGGGAACAGGCCCCTGATGAAGGAAAGAAAAAAGGAGAAACCATGTGAAGAAGAAAAAATGAGCGGAGAAACAAGAGAAGTGGGCCGAGGGGGGGTGAGGCTGATGTTGGGCTCGGGGGTGGGTGCGGATGTCAGCGGTGGTCCTGCTGTAGGCGCGCGGGTGAGGGAGGAAATCGGCACACGTAGGGACCTAAACGGTTCCATATCAGGTTTCGTCTACAACAACTATCGTGGGTCTTTCGTAGATCAATAACAAAGCACGCGAAGGGAAAATTTTTTCCCCATCTGGGGGGGGGATTTTTCATTATTTTCTTTTTGTTTTTTCCTTTGTTTTTCTTTTCGTTTTCTTTATCAACTATTTTTTTTAGGTTCAGGCGAACGCCCGAGGATAGTCGATTACGGAAATGTCGGTTATTTTTTCTTCCTTTCTATCCCTTACTCCTTTCTTACTTCCTTTCCCTGTCTCTCCTTCTATCATATACAGTATACTATAACTATATTATATATAATAGTATATACGATATATATATAACTATATATATAGCTGTAAAAATATATATATACACATATGATCGTGTTCGCCTGTGTCGTCGCCTGTGCATCGTGATGTAATGTAGGTAGTATATATTCCAGTGTTACTATATATGCATACCCACACACCACCACACAACCATCCACATACCACACAAGATATATATACCAACTATATATCATATACTCATATATACTAACCTAATACTATATATATATGATATATATATACTGATGATAGTGATACTATATACCATATATGTATATATAATATGATAATAATATAATATATATATATATCATGTATATATGTATGTATATCATATTATTCATATATATCATATATATTGTATAACCCTATACGACTATCATTATATAATATTATATAGGTATATTACTGATATATCATATATATGCTACTAATACTACTACTATATATTATAATATGTACTATATATGTGATATATCATATATATATACATAATACTATAATAAATTTTATATATATATATTATATCGATATATATATATATGTCATTACATATATATATATAATAGTTACTATAACTCTTTCATATAACTCCCGATATTATATAATTGTATAAAGTCTAATAATATAAAGCTAACTCCTCGTCTACTATATACTATACCATTACCTAAACATACTTATAATAATATCGCTACGAAGTCTTATCCAATCATATATACTATATCAGATATACGTATATATATATTATATCATCATATATAATAATATAATAACTACCTATAATATATCTATAACTCGTGCTTTGTACTTCTTGCGCAATGAGCGTGTCATCAGGCAAGCTCATCGCGAACCTTCATGGCACCCACCCATGGCCCGTCAATACCCCTTGGAGCACCCTGCCGCCCACCCATGTGTGTGCTGATGCGGTCGTCTCAGTGTGTTTGTGCGTGTGTTGTGTGTTGATGTGATACATATACCTATATATATAAATCTATATATATATGTCCATTATATTCTTATATTAAACTATGTATTACTACTACTATACTATAATTATATCACTATATCATATATTATTACTATACTTATGGATGACCGACTCACCACCACAGTGCTCTATTTTTTATTATCATCACGGATCTTTGATCGACAAACACGCAAAGAAGACAAAAATAACAATAACACAATTAATAATGCCAATAAAAATAACAAAATTAGACAACAAATCGATAGCCAGCTCCCCCCCACTCCCCTTCACCCTTCCTCCCCTCCCCACCTCCCCCTCTTCCCCCGATTCCACCTCCCTGTCCCATCCCCCTTCCCCTTTATCCTCCCTTATGCTCCCCCTCCCTTCCCTCCTTCCTCCCCCTTCCCCCCCTCTCCCCATCCTTCCCCCTTCCCTCCTCGCCTTCCCCTTCCCCCCTTCCCATTCCCCTCCCCTCCCCCTTCTCCCCCCCCCTCCCCCTTTCCCCCTTCACCCTTCCACCCCCCATCTGCATCGCGTGCCGTCCGCCCTGGGATCGTCTTCATCTCGGCGTCATGTTTCAGAAAACCCGAAGATCTTTGCTATTTCCTGAAGGCGGTTGCAGCATCTTCTCCGACCGCAGCTTCGTCTGTGCGCGTGTTGAAGTCTGTTCGTCTGTCTGTCTGTCTCTCTTTTTTTCTTTCTTTGTGTTTGTTTGTTTGTCTGTTTGTTTGTCTG